AAATATATAAAATATATATTCTATATATATATAAAATATAATAATATATATATATAATATATATATAATAAATATATAATATATATATATATATATATATATATCTTTGGAGTGTGAGCAGGGTAATATTTAGTGAAGGGATTCAGGGAAAACCCGGTTTTTTTTCATATAGTCGGACTTGAGTCCTGGAAATGGGAAGTACAATGCCCGCACTTTAAAGAAGTGGTTTGGGGTTTTTGGCAGTTTGGAGGGATATGTTGTGTACTTTATACGTATATGCTTCTAAACTGTTGTATTCTGGGCACCTCTGCAAAAGCAGTGATAATGTGTGAGTGTGGTGAAAGTGTTGAATGAAAGATGAAAGTATTTCTTTTTGGGGATTTTCTTTCTTTTTTGGGGCACCCTGCCTCGGTGGGAGACGGCCAAATTGTTTGAAAAAAAAAAAAATATATAAAATATATATATATATATATATAATATACATTTTTTTTTTTTTTTTTTTTTTAACAAGTCGGTCGTCTCCCACCGAGGCAGGGTGACCCAAAAAAAAGAAAGAAAATCCCCAAAAAGAAAAAACTTTCATCAATTCAACACTTTCACCACACTCACACATTATCACTGCTTTTGCAGAGGTGCTCAGAATATAACAGTTTAGAAGCTATACGTATAGAGATACACAACAAATCCCTCCAAACTGCCAATAAACCCAAACCCCTCCTTTTATATATATATATATATATATATATATATATATATATATTATATAAATATATATATATATATATATATATATATATATATATATATATATTATATAATTATAAGGATGTATCCCACATAGACATTGAAGCAGCAATAGAAATGAAGCCATATATTTCGACTCCAACTTCAGCCATCATCAGCAGACTGTGACAAACATTCTGCTGATGATGGCTCCAGTTGAGACTCAAAATACCACATCCATTATTATCTTCTTACGTACACATGGGGCGGCGCCCCTTCAATAGCACTCCAGTATTACCATTATCAATATATAAATAAAAATTTATCCCAGAAGGGGGATCTTATAGCAGGCCTATTTTTTTTTACTTTCTCCAAGTGTTTTATTTTTTTATCTCCAGAATGCCTTGTCCTATCGGCATTCTTGGCACGGGCAACTACTTTATTTAGACACTGGTACACATAAGTACAATTATCGTACATAGTGTAAATTACCCAGGATAACCCAAAAAAAATCAGCGACTTATTTTCAGTGGGGTCCTTATTTCAACTGAGGTAATTTCATTCGGGCCTCGATTTTCCACTGGGGAGAGCCTTGATTTTTCATTGGGACCTTGATTTCCATTAGTTCCTTGATTTCCATTGTAGTAATTTTATTTTCATTGGGATCCTTGATTTTTATTGGGGGTCATTGATTTCCAATGAGGGTCATTCCCAGTTTGAGTTTCCATAACCTTCTGATCGACTTATGACTTTCTTTATTATTATTATCAGAATCACAAGGAAGTGCTAAACCCACAAGGGCCATACAGCTTCAGACCTTCAACAGTGGTATATCCCACTGATGAGACAGTAGGGAGTCTGGTTAAGGTGTGCTGGTTACAACTTGCCTATTGTATTTTTAAAATGTTAAGGCTGCAGTGAGAATGACAAATGTGTACAGGCCTCCACATTCACAAGGGTTAGGGATCGATAGCCTCACGTAAATGGATGTTAGTCACCTTACACCTGTTGTTCACATTTACCTAGCAGTAAAATGGGTACCTGGGTGTTATTCGACTGGTGTGGTCGCATTCTGGGGACAAAACTGACCTAATTTGCGGGAAATGCTCAGCATAACAAGTAGCTTTCTATATAGTAATATGTCATTGATGTCAACTATGGTCTGTATACCTTGTACATGTAGTAGTAGAAATAAAGCTATAATTATATTATTATTCTTTGGTGGACGACTGCCAGCAGATAAAGACATAAACACAGAACAATAAATAACTTTTCATTATATTTATTATACAGTAGTTTTAATAAAAAATATTTACTGGTTAACTAAAACACTTTGAAAAACATTCCATGCACAATTTTTTACAATGATCTCTTATATAAAATATAAAGCGGAATCTGGATAAGTGTCTTACATATTTAACTGTATTAAATACACTATAAATCAACTCTAAAACAATGGATTTATACAAAACTACAAAGTGTTCAGGTACAAAAAATGACCATAGTGAACTACAAAACTATCATTATACTGTACAATTTGAACAAAAACTTCACGCCAACCACAAACGGTCACCTGGGAAACTGGCGGTAATCTGGTTTGTTCCAAGGAAGGGGAAGGTAGGTATGCATGGATCATGACATTTAAATGGGAAACAAGACAAACACAGATCATGGAAAAATATTGTCTTACTGAATGTCTCGATCTGTTACATTCTTGAGGAGAGTGCTAAACCCAAAGGGGTTTGGGAGGCAATAAGGAATTGGAGGCAATCAGGTTTGATCCAAGGATGGGGAGGTGAGGGTCAATTTCTTTGATCAAGGACCCTCCCTTAAGTAGTCTGTGTATAAGTGTTTCTTACAACTTGTCAGTATCATCTCACTACTTAAACCATAGAAAAGATTGCTCCAATTCTTTGGATTGAGAGCCCTTTGCCCATATCAAGGAGCCTCCTTTGAAAGTACAGTGGTAGCCTAGAACATAGCCTGCTTATACAGTAGGCTATGTTCTAGGCTACCACTGTAAAGTGAATCATAGCTTTTTTTTTTACTTCAAATGCATATAAAAGCTGATAACATGTTTACAATATTATATATTAAGTGAGCAATAGAGCTAAGCCTAAAAAATGCATATATGTACATACATTACTTACCTTAAAATATTTTCATCCTTATAGTGTGTGGTGATTATATATACAGCCTCTCCCTACTTAGCGATGTACTTGTTTACCGACGACTCGGACTTACGACGGGCTCTCTGACCGGTATGCATACCTAAATAATATATACTAGAGCTGATGTCTGCTATTCTGTTTATTACAATATACAGTACACTACTGTATAAACATTTAAAAATATGCCAGAAAATGTTATAAATGGTGCAAAGGTGACAGTAAAATAATATAAAAAATGGTTGATTGTTAGGTAAGACACATATGCAACAGTTAGGTATCTTTATTTTGAAACGTTTCGCCTACACAGTAGGCTTCTTCAGTCGAGTACAGAAAAGTTGATAGAAGCAGAAGATACTTGAAGACGATGGACTGATTACATCGTCTTCAAGTATCTTCTGCTTCTATCAACTTTTTTGTACTCGACTGAAGAAGCCTACTGTGTAGGCGAAACGTTTCAAAATAAAGATACCTAACTGTTGCATATGTGTCTTACCTAACAATCTGTCGGTATTTTATACCATTTTAATGTTCAAAAAATGGTTGATACAAACCCACTACCATTACAGTATGATCCTCACTTAGCGATGAATTCATTTACCGATGTGGTTGTAGAAACGGTCTTTATTGTTAAGTGAAGAGAGGCTGTATTGTAGGAAGTCTGAATAAATGAAGAATGGCTGTAACTGACAACTGCTGTATTAGCAAAGTGCTGTAAAGTGAAGCCCTGTAAAGTGGGGCACTGTTGACCAAAGCACTGTAAAGTGGGGCACTGTTGACCAAAGCACTGTAAAGTGGGGCCCCTCCTGTACAAACAAACAAAAGAGGATAACAATAAAATAATATCCTTATAAAAAACAAACAATTAAATGCTGCATGTATTTATAAGTTATTCTATAAATGATATAACTGGACCATAATTTTTCTCTGTAACACCTTATTAAAAATCTAATTAATTACAGTATCATCTTCCCCCCCCCCAAAAAAAAAATTATTTCCTAGTGCAGTACAAAAAAAATGTGGTTTGCATGTAATGAGATATTGTTAAACAGGGCACCTTGATACCAGTGTAGGGTTCTTGAGCTGAGGAACTGGAGCCACCTATCTCTTCTTTTAAATCAAATCAGAATTTAATTTTTTTGTGTAGTATTCAAATTGTAGTTTACATTTAATAAAGTATTGTTAAGCACAAAGAAAGCCACTAACATGCTTGAACATTGTGGGCAGACATATACACATACAGGGGTGGGCAGCCCCCCCCCCACACACAAAAATCTTGCTAAAGGTGATTTGGGGCAAAAGTGAGTTCTGTCAGCCTCGAAGGACTATGTATAAGGTACGTTTAAGGGTCTTCTAATGTTGGTGGTGTAATGGGAAATGTTTCTGTCTTGCAACTGTGAAACAGGGGAAAGGGCAGGGATTGAATCCCTGCTTATCACTCGCAAGCTCTTACTGTCTCTCTCTTTCTCTTTTGCTTTCTCTCTCTCTCTCTCTCTCTCTCTCTCTATCTATCTATCTATCTCTATCACTTTCCATTTTTTCTCTCCCTCCCTCCCTCTCTCTCTCCAACACATACACACACACACACACACACATTAATCCCACGAAAGTGCAAAGGCAGTAACATTGGTCTCTTCTTGTCGGCGCCACCATTCCCACCCACACTTTCCTACTTCACGATTTCTGAGCATCAAAATCTTTTTAAACACACACACACACATCATGCTATACAACAGGCCTAGTGTCTAAATTTTATGTGCCTAGGGCAAATTGGTGACTAACTAACACTCTCTCTCTCTCTCTCTCCCTCCCTCTCTCTTTCCCCCTCCTCCCCCTCCCCTCCTTGGATCACTGACCATTACCTCTTATTTCTTTAGGGCAGCATATGACCCTACAGGTCAGTATTTTCCCATGAATATTTAAAACAGTAATCTATAACAACAGCTTTCACTTAAGGACATGTGAGGAATTACTGTACTGCAATTTCACTTCTACTTTTGAGCCGGAAAATTTCAGCTAAAACTGACCTTCCTTGGGTCAAACTTTTATATCCATTTCCCAAGGTGCAGTATAACCCTATGGCTTAGCACCCCCAGTAAATACTTATAATGCAGTAATACTGTAACTGCAGTTATAATGTCAAAATTGGTGTAGCTGTGTATGTTCCAATTATCCAGTAGTACTCTGTATAAAATATATTTGGCTTTATTTGCATTGTTTCCACCTTTTTTGACTTCCACTCATTTTATTATTAGGCCTTGACTTACATGCATAGAGCTTTTCCCTTTCAACCACGATGTTTGTGTTAGGCTAGACGGTGAGGTGGGCACAATACCACAAGCAGTGTGATGACATTAACCACCAATAGTTACCTATAGCTCTACACTTTTCTTAAGGAACATCTTTTGCATTTAGTCAAAAAATGTAAAAAAATTATCAAAACTTTACCATAAACATAAGTCACATTTTCTGTTACAAGTGCATACTACATGCATTTGTAGGGACTCTGGTAATGACATGCTGCAAAAAAAAAAAAACAATAAACTTTTCTTCATTTTGCAATCACAAGTTGGTAACTTCATATAACATAATATCAAGATAAACTGTTTGCAAAACTTTCTAGACACTTACCATTAAAAAACCTTGCAACTCTGGTAGTATGTAATTTGTGTCTAACAGAGATACGAGATAGTCGTCAAGTCTTTCATTTTTACATCATCTCTCAGAGGACACTCAACTATTAATCATAATTTTTATAAACAAGTTACATCTAAAAATTATTAACATTATTTAGTAAATGTCAATTTTTTACTAATGAAATTCTGAGTGACTAAACTTACTGCAGAATCCTTCCTCCGTAAGCCACATGTGTCGTAAGAGGTGACTAAAATGCTGGAAGCAAGGGGCTAGTAACCCCTTCTCCTGTGTAAATTACTAAATATAAAAAAGAAAAACTTTCGTGTCTTCCTTTTCAGGTCATCCTGCCTTAGTGGGAGATGGCCGGTGTCAAAAAAAAAAAAAACTTAAAGAATTTTATTGGTCACAATTATACTTGCAGAATAAATGAAGCATCATTTTACTGAAATATGCCACTGTACTATACATTACAGTTTTTGTGTATACTGTATAGTGTCATCTCGGTGGAGTCTAACAGTAGGTCATGACATCTTAACTTTCTTGGAAAATGTTTTTGCCTGCTCGTCTCTTTTCTGCTTTTGTCTTAACTGACTGTTAAATTTGACGGTTGTTAACCCGATAGTGTAATTCAGCGCTGATACTTTCAACTTGCGCTTCCCTGTCCCACAGTAATTCTTCACTTGCGAAAAAACTCTCTCGACAGCGCTGCCGTTAACCCTAAGGGGCACAATGGCTCTGTCGGGGTGCCTGCTGTGGAAGTTCTTGCACAAGCTTCTGAATCCATATAACGATAAGCGAAGGCCTTCCCAAGTTTGCCAAGACAGGAACTCTTTCTGTCGAGGATCCTTGAGGTGCAAAGCCGCTGTTGCTTAAAAGAAAAATGCAGTGAATAAATACACTTGAAAACAGTTTTAATAAATTACAGTAAGCATTCTTAAAGGAGGGGTTCGGGATATTAGCAGTTTGGAAGGATATGTTGTGTATCTTTATACGTATATGCTTCTAAACTGTTGTGTTCTGAACACCTCTGCAAAAACAGTGATTATGTGTGAGTGAGGTGAAAGTGTTGAATGATGATGAAAGTATTTTCTTTTTGGGGATTTTCTTTCTTTTTGGGTCACCCTGCCTCGGTGGGAGACGGCCAACTTGTTAAAAAAAAAAAAAAAAAAAATCTTAAAAATGCTCCTTTGTGTAGTACAATTTTTTTTGTAAATGAAATAAAAACTGATGAATTGTATGCCAAACAAAATAGCAGTCTCTTACATTTGTATTAAACAGTATGGCAGTCTCTCTCTATTTATTACACAAAATGGCAGTCTCTCTTATATCAAATAAAACGGTAATCTCTCTCATACATATCTCAAAGTTTCTACCTACCATTCATGTCATTCAGCCAATCACAAAACCACTGGTAACCCTCCATGGTGTTGGTAATTGCTTCTTGTCGTTCAGACGTAACTCCCACATTACTTAACAAGCCCTTCTCAAAAATTTTGCTGGTTGCATTTAAAAACTCCCATGTTTTCTGCATAACCATCTTTGACTTTTCGTTTGTTATTTGCTTAATTTCTTTTTCTAGAGCATCCACAACCTCAGGTTTCTGAAAGAAAACAAAATAAAGATAAAAGAAATGTTTCAATTAACACACACCAACAGAGTGTACAGATCACCCTCGTTTTATGTCATAGATGTGTTCCTAACTCATGGTCTGTAAAGAGAACTCAATAAAACATGTAATACACAAGGATTCGTTCTAAGATTATGCAAATTTTACATCTTGACTAATGTTTGCCTAAAACAATAATGAGCTTACCACACATGCACCAAATGATTATGTGTAAAAAAAGAATTAAATCCAAACTTTAATCATAATGAAGATTGAGACACTTATGCACCATATGGGAATCTTTATTTAGGAAACGTTTCGCCACACAGTGGCTTCATCAGTCCAATACAAAGCAGAGAGGTGCAAGGAGAGGAGGAGATTGAGGTAATCAGTCCCTCAGCCTGGAGTTGATGTGTTCAGCCCATCAATCTTGTAGAATGTACAGCATAGGGCCGTAGGGACTGATTACCTCAATCTCCTCCTCTTCTTGCACCTCTCTGCTTTGTATTGGACTGATGAAGCCACTGTGTGGCAAAACGTTTCCTAAATAAAGATTCCCATATGGTGCATAAGTGTCTCAATCTTCAACTTGTCGGTTTTCAAAACCATTCATCACAACATTCAATCATAATCCCTATATAATACAAAACTTGGAAAAATGCATTTCTTTATTTAATTAAAAAAAAAATTATGAGTATACCAGATAGGCACCAAAAGGCCATATACCAAAAATAAATGCAATTGGTGAAAACACAAATGAGAAAAAAAATAAATCCAAATTTAGGCCTAATCCTCCTCTCTTTTATCCTGCCTCCTTTTAGCACCAACCAACCAGCCTGTCTTCAGAGTGAAGTGCACTTGTTATTAATCTGTGAATTCAAACCTCCTAGCTACTTTTTCCCTGTGAAGGGTTTTTGATCCAGAGAACTGGAGGTGCCTCTCCCATTCCCTGGACCAAACCTGATTAATCTCCCATTCCCCAGGCAGTGTACAGCATACCTGTAATATTCTTGATGGAAGTAAGGCATATTTAAACTTGACTGCATGGCGCCGCTCAATGTAACTCTTGCGAAGGAGTGGAGCAATTCTAGATTCATTTTTTTCCATTCGCCCAATGTCATTCTCGAGAAGCAACTCTAGGGGTTTCCATCCAAAGGAGATGCCACCATACTTAAAGTCTTTTGTTCCATCAGGTTGTGAAGAATGAAGGGCATTCATCATGTTGATCAGCTGTAGGGAAGAATATTATTCGCATTATATTCTGGAGGAAGAGCAAAACCCACAGGAATCACACAGATACTGGAGAATGAGATGCAATCAGGCTAAATCTGAGAAAGAGGAAGGGTAGCTCCAATTCTTCAGATGAAGAGCCCTTCACCAGCATCAAGGACTTCTCCCTTTCCCTAAAGGGATAAAGAAAACAGATGCCACAATACCAGCACTAGTACAATTCACAACAAAACCCACATATTGGTAAGCAGTCTTTAACCCTTAAACTGTCCAAGCAGATCTACGTTCATACGCGTAGTGCTCCAAAAGTAGATCTATGTTTTTTTTACATATTTTCAAATATAACAAAAAAAAGTAGATCAAAGTTTTTTTACATGTTTTCAAATGTAAAAAAAAAAGAAATGAGATCTACTTTTTTTACATACTTTCAAATGTTGAAAAAACGTAGATCTACGTTTGGACAGTTTAAGGGTTATATGAACTTTTTATTCATCCTACACCATTAATAATCAAGAACTCATTATGATTTATATGCAAATATCCCGCACATAGGAGAAAGAAACTCACGACGACATTTTGGTCTGACTTACACCATTAACTAGTCACCAGTTAATGGTCCAAGTCAGACCAAAATGTCATCATAAGTTCTTTCTCCTATGTGCAGGTTATTTTTGTATTGTTCCGTCATGGTATTGTGCCTTTTTATTCTTTATTCTTGATTATGATTTGGGTTGGACTGATATGTTGTCTAAGACTTATATTCAGCTTTTGGGTTAGTTGTGAATGAGTTAGCTATATTGATGAGAAGTTCAACATAATCAACTATCAAGTTGTACAAGGGGTAACTGATGTTTCAGCAGAGTATGACTTGTTATATAGTACAGCGGAACCCTGAGTTTCGGCCAGAATTCGTTCCAGAAGGCTGTTCGAGTGCCGTTACCAGATGAATTTGTTCCCATAAGGAATACTGTAAATCAGGTTAGTCCATTTCAGACCCTCAAAAATGCACTTACAAAAGCATTTACAATAGTACACTTACATAGTTGTTCAAGTTGGGAGCTGGCCGAAACTCAGGGTACCACTGTACTTTTTATCTGTTTACCATATGGAAACGAAAGTGCAATGAATACTGGTCTACAGTATTCATGAATCCACATGGATAAAATGAAACTGATGAGAGGAGTACGGTAATAAAATGAAAAAGGCACAAGTTAAATACGTATTTAATTAAATTTCTTCTTTAAAAGTTAATGTCGTTTGTTAATGTTTCCACCAACAGTAGAATAATTTACAGACTGAATAATACAGTAAGTTATTAACTACAACACTGAGTAACACAGTAGGTCATTAACCCTTAAACGGTCCAAACGTATATATACGTTCACACGCGTAGCACCCCAAACATATATATACGTTTTCTTTGTCATTCATTCAACATTGCCACAATAAGCCTGAGTCACCTAGACATGAGAGAATGGGTGTGCGCACTCACTGTGTGCAATATTAAAATAATTGGGGATGCCTGGGTACCATATGCTCTTTTTTCCTTTTAAAAGAAAAGATTTTTTTTTTCCTCAAAAAATTTGGGGCGCTACGCGAGTGAACGTATATATACGTTTGGACTGTTTAAGGGTTAACTACAACACTAAGTAATACAGTAGGTCATATAACACTGAATAACACAATAAGTCACTTGAAGCAGAGCACTTATGAACATTAAAAATGTTAATCTAACAAGCCACAGTCAGAACACATTGGAAACACAACCATTCTTTCTACAAACAACTTATATTTAACATGAAAAACCAGAATTCATGGACTTTTAAGGTTGTGACTTACCATATGGTTTGGGCAAATAATCCATGATATTTGCAATGAAGGGTCAAATGGATTGAGAAAAGTGGGATGAAGTTGATAATTGTCATCAGTATCAGCACTCATGAGCCTCGCTCACCCAGACTACTCCTCAGACACGCTCCATTTACGGCGGCAGTGTCGCACACGATGCCTATCGTTTTCAGCCGGAAATCGTCAAAACTCTTGATTGTCCATAGAAGATGATCTGAAAGTTTAGCACTTTCTATAAATGTGGTTCAATTATTAACTTAGAGTATAACTTGAAAGAAATAATTAAACGTAGCAACATCTTGACAATTTAATTAACATTTTAGTCACCTCTTATGACACGCATGGCTTACGGAGGAAGAATTCTTTCCACTTCCCAATGGAGAAATTAATGATTATATAGTATTCACATTTTTAAATTCATTGGCCATTTCCTGCCTAGGCAAAGTGACTTAAAGAAAATTACTTGGTTCATCATCAAATCTGCAGTGTCACCTGTACACCACCTGTACACTATTTCAGTCCCTGAAATATGGATTGGAATAAAGTCTCAGCATGAATAAACAGCTACTGAATGAATGATGGTGAATGTGCTTCTCTGTGTCATCACACCTTGGCAAGTAATGGCTGATATGGCATAAACAAGGAATATAATCTACTTTCAACATGCAGGTGAAAAACTGTACAGATTCAAATTACCTGTGTACTTATCATGCTGTACTTTTAGCACATGTAATTTATTTTGTAACTTCCATTATTTCCTATTAAATTTTTTCATTTATTTATTTTTCAACACAACAGCTGTCGTCCACTGAGGCAGTGACCCTAAAAAAGGAGAAATGCAGAGTTTCCTTCTTTTTGCATGTAGTAATTTATACAGGAAAAGGGGGTTACTAGTCCCTTGCTCCCAGCATTTTAGTCACCACTTACAACACCCATGGCTTATGGAGGAAGAATTCTTCTCCACTTCCCCATGGAGCTTATTATAAAATATCACTCTTAAACAAGAGGCTTATATTTATAAGCTAAAAAACAGAAAGAAAAAATTATCTTTGTTCTCAGTGTTTCATGAACTTCAACATTAGACTAGCCAGCAATGTCATCTTTAAAACATGTTAAAATTTTTCAGCAAGATGTTATAAATACTATTAATATAACAAAATCAATAAGAAATGTTTTTCATTAAGCAACTGTGATGTTATTGTGATGATATTGGCAGTTTGGAGGGATATGTTGTGTATCTTTATATGTGTATGCTTCTAGACTGTTGTATTCTGAGCACCTCTGCAAAAACAGTGATAATGTGCGAGTGTGGTGAAAGTGTTGAATGATGATGAAAGTATTTTCTTTTTGGGGATTTTCTTTCTTTTTTGGGTCACCCTGCCTCGGTGGGAGACGGCCGACTTGTTGAAAAAAAAAAAAAAAAAAAAAAAAAAACTGTGATGTCTACACACTTCTAAGACAGCTACTTAATGAGTGCTGGTTAATACATTTCCTTCACTGTATCCCCCTACCTTAGATGGGAAATGTCCAGTGGTAAAAAAATAAACACAGGTAGGTCCTCAGTAGTGAGAGTTTGATAAGTGCAAATTTCAATTAGTGCTGAATTAATTAGTGTCATTTTTTCTCCCAAGCTCTTCAAATCGTGTGCAAAAATTTCATATACAGTGTTGCCTTGAGTTACGAGCAGATCCTAACTTGAACAATTATGTAAGTGTATTTTTGGGGGTCTGAAATGGATTAATCTAATTTTCATTATTGCTTATGGGAACAAATTTGTTCGGTATCGGCACTCGAACAGCCTTCTGAAACAAATTAAGCTCGTAACTCAAGGTACCACTGTAATTAAAATAATGTGACCACTGCAGGGGATTCCTTATTTGCACTAATCAAGACCTACCTGTACCCTGTATTTAAATACTTACTGGCTAGCTGCTGTCCCTTTAAATTTCTAGATAAATGAAAATAAGGACCAATGATGTCATGGTTGTAGCATACGTCGCGCCATACTGTCTGAAGTACACACTCATCAGGTCGTGGTGTTATGACTTCTGCTGGCTTAGTGAATATATCAGTAAGATTCAACAGCTCCTCCTCACTCAGGTCATGACCAACCAGAGACTCTTGTATCCCATACCAAACAACCTATTCAAACACATAATACAAATAAGGGTAGAGAAAAGGACTTTTGTAATAATGTTGGTAGAATTACTAGCAATATGGTAACGGCTTGACAAAGCTCCTGGAGAGCGAAATATTGCCACAATAAAATGTCACATCAGTTGCACTTGTGTCCTTTTACTTTACAAAAGGACTTTTGCTTACCGTACTCTCAGCTGAAATAACAAACATACCGTATTTTCCAGCATATAAAGTGCACAAGTGTCAGCTGCTTGCTGGCACAATGTTTCCAAGCAGTTGTAACGTATCGTTAGTACACAACTACTAAAGCGTAACCCAAAGCCTACCCTTGATCCTGACCTTGACCATATAAGGTGAAGGCTGATTTTCCAAGACTTTTCTGTGAGAAAAAAAGCGCCCCTTATGTGCCAGAAAATACGGTAATTAAAGCCAATATTTCATTAATATACAATATACAAAGCACAGTACTGAGACATAAATTTGCTGCAAAGGTTTCAAATTTTCCCGTACTTATGAAAAGATTTTGAGTCCCATTGAATTGTGAAGGGGATTTTTTTTGCATTATGGGATGTCAATAAACCCTCCACGCAACAGACCTCTATATGATGAAATTTAGAAATACAGGTACTATCCGACTTACGACCAAGCCTGGTTCCGACCAACCGGCTGCAAGTCAAAATGGACGTAAGTCAAACCTTATTATTGAATATCAACATCACATTTTTGTAATGATTTTATTTTATTGTTTTATTTTGGTATTTCATTTTTTACTTTACTTTTTATGCTTTTAGTACTGTATTTTATACTGTAAGGTTCAGGATAAACACTGTACAACACAAACAGTTGTTTATTTCCCAGAAATTTGGCATACAAAACATGGTCGTAAGTCGAGTGGTCGTATGTCGAGCAGGTCGTAAGTCGGATGGTAGGTGTACAGAACGAAATTGCCGAGTAAACCGGCTTGGAAACAATGTACTAAGTCCATTAGTTATGAAATTGTCCATTATTGTTACAATTTTGGCCAAACAATCTCTTCTGTATTCACCACCACTAACACACAGTGCATGACTAGTTAATGCTTCAAGCTGGACTGAAATATTGTCATCTGTTTCTTTCTCCGATGTATGTGTGGATGTATGTGTATTGTATACAGTAAATACAGTGGTACCCCGAATTTCGAACTGCTCCCAACTCGACCAATTATGTAAGTGTATTATTGTCAGTGCTTTTGTAAGTGTATTTTTGGGGATCTGAAACAGACTAATCTAATTTACATTATTCTTTATGGGAACAAATTCATTCGGTAACGGCACTTGAACAACCTTCTGGAATGAAGAAAGTTCAAAACTCGATGCACCACCATAGTTTAAAACATAAAATATGTGAAAATAAGCAACAAACATATCATGTGTACATGAATTTAAGAGTTAGAGCAATTAAAAGATAGAATACTAACCTTGGAAATCACTTTCATTTGATCGATGATTATCACACCTTCTCCAAGGCATGGCAGTCTCCCACTTGCTTCATGTTCATCAGATATTTCATAATACTGCTTAGCTTGCTTGGCAATATATTCCTGAAAAAATAGAACATTCGTCAGAAAAACGACTACGAGAAATAAAATTTTTATTGACCACATTAATGTTGCTTCTTTCAGGTATAGTTTTATTTATTTATTCTTCCATCAATAAACCCATTTGGCATTATTATTTCAGGCCAGACTTGTCCTGGTGATGGGAAGCTCAGTGCCGGCACTCTAAAGGAGGGGTGTTAATGTTGCAGTTTTATAACTGTAGTGTAAGCGCATCTCTGACAAGACAATGACTGAGTGAATGATGGTGAAAGTTTTTCTTTTTCGAGCCACCCTACCTTGGTGTGAAACGGCCTATGTGTTAATAAAAAAAAATAATTTCCTGTTTCCTTTATTACACATAAGTTGTCTTCTTTCAACGCACTGACAATATCCCACCTAGGCGGGGTGGACCAAAGGAAAAATGAAAAGTTTCTTTTAGATTTAGTAATATATACAGGAGAAGGGGTTACTAGCCCCTTGCTCCTGGCATTTTAATCGCCTCTTACAACACACATGGCTTATGGAGGAAGAATTCTGTTCCACTTCCCCATGGAGATAAGTGGAAATAAGCAAGGACAAGAACTAGTAAGAAAAATAGAAGAAAACCCAGAAGGGTGAGCATATATATGCTTGTACATGCATGGGTAGTGTTACCTAAATGTAAGTAGAAATAGCAAGGCATACCTGAAATCTTGCATGTTTATGAGATAGAAAAAAAAGACACCAGAAATCTTACCATCATGTAGTTCTACCATTGGTAGTACCTCCCTGAGTGGTTGCTGCCTAATGCTATACTGCACCATTTAAATGTCTGACTATAAGTGTAACACTATACTGCACCATTTAAATGTCTTACAAAGTGTAATGCTATATTGCACCATTTAAATATCTTACCAAGTGTAATACTGGTTTGTTTTCTATTTCAAGGTCATAGTCATTTATCGGAAAAAGTGAAGGCAGCTCTAGAATTCTGAATGACTCCAGTGATTCATAGGATTCGGTGCTGCGTTGGTAGAGTGCCAAGGCAATCCTAAAAGTAACCATACTCCAGCAATTGATAGCTTCGTTTTCGTACTGAAGACACGTCTCTTTAGCAGTCGCAGCTGAAACACAACAGAAATTTTCTCTTTACATGCATGAATTTATTAATTAATTTATTAATACATATAAGTAAGGAACCAAATAATAAACAAAGCCTATACAATATTTTTGTACTAAATGGTTTAAAACTGACAAGTTGAAGATTGAGACACTTATGCAACATATGAGGAATCTTTATTGAAGAAACGTTTCGCCACACAATGGCTTCATCAGTCCAATACAAAGCAGAAAGGTGTAAGGAGAGGAGGAGTTTGAGGTAATCAGTCCCTCAGCCTGGAATTGATGTGATCAGTCCATCAATCTTGCAGAAAGTACAGCATAGGGCCGTAGAAGTGGCTTATACAGTGGACCCCCGCATAGCGAACGCCTTGCATAGCGAACATTCCGCATAGCGAACGCTTTGATCGCTAAAATTTTGCCCCGCATAGTAGACAAAAACCCGCTCAGCGAACTTCGTCCGAGACGCGTCCAATGTGCGGCCTCAGCCAGCCTCACATGTGCCGCCTGTCCCATTGTTTACCAGCTAGCCTCCGCGGTAACATTCAAGCATACACTCGGAATATTTCGTATTATTACAGTGTTTTCGGTTCTGTTTGTTGAAAATAAGTGACCATGGGCCCCAAGAAAGCTTCTAGTGCCAACCCTGTGGTAAAAAGGGTGAGAATTAGTATGGAAATTAAGAAAGATTTTGAAGGGTTTGGGGCTAACCCTGAGAAGCCTATGCCAGTTGTGGAATCCATTGTGCCTACTTCAAAAATTAAGGAAATGTGTGCACAGTGGGTTGAACTGCAAACCTTTATGGATGAAAATCACCCTGACACAGCTGTTGCAAGGCGTGCTGGTGACTATTTCAATGACAATGTTATGGCCCATTTTAGACAAATCGTAAAGGAACGGGAGGTACAGAGCTCTATGGACAGAAAGAAGTCCAGTGACTCTGAAGCTGGTCCTAGTGGCATTAAAAGAAGAAGGGAAGTAACCCCGGAAAAGGACTTGCCTCCTCAAGTGTTAATGGAAGGGGATTCCCCTTCTAAACACTAACACTCTCTCTCCCCTCCTCCCATCCCATCAATCATCACCAGATCTTCAATAAAAGTAAGTGTCATGTAATTGTGCATGCCTTTTTCAGTTTGTGTGTACTAAAATTAACATTTTTTTGTGGTAAAAAATTTTTTTTTTCATACTTTTGGGTGTCTTGCACGGATTAACTTTATTTCCATTATTTCTTATGGGGAAAATTAATTCGCATAGCGAACATTTCGCATAACGACCAGCCCTCTTGCACGGATTAAGTTCGCTATGCGGGGGTCCACTGTATACTGTAGTCAGGCGAGTTGAAGCAGGAGGAGGTGGGATCTTATTTCCAGGATAACCCAAGAAAGCCAAACTGTTACACAATGCCTAAATTTATGTGATGACTAGAATTAAGCACTTTGCAAGATTTAGAATTAAATGGTCTGAATTTCCTCACATGAACAAATAAATAAACTATATTTCTTTCCATTGGAGCCCTTGATCTCCAGTACCATCCTTAGATTATAATTTAATACTCTTTATAATTATAAGGTATATTAGAAACTTAAGCATTGTGTGTGCAAATGTGAGCATATTAGATAAGAATAAGTGGAGACAGGTGGTGTCTGGGATTTGATGTGCCACCAGTGTGTGTACAAGGTAACATATATATGTAGGGATTCAGGGGAAAACAAGTTCCCTGGAGGTGGGAAGTACAGTGGCTACACTCTGATGGATGGGCAATGGTATTGTGGTTCAGAGGGTCATTTGAATTGTGCTGGTCATACAGTTGTGGCAAGACAGCTGTCGAATGAATGACGGTGGATGTGTTTTTCTGTTTGGGTCTCTCTACCTTAGTGGGTGGGAAATAGCAGAGGTGGAAAAAAAATATATGCTCCATTTGGAAATGATAACTGTCTTAAAATGGTGTGTGATATTTGAGACTTACAAGTGAGGTTTTTTAAACTGAGTCAATTTTGGACAAGCAGTGAAATGATGGATATGTATTAACTGTCCATGGCATACTTATACAGCCTTTCCTCACTTAACGATGGAGTTTTGCTCTCAAGACCACATTGGTAAATGAATTCATCACTAAGTGAGGAGCATACTATAATGGTAGTGGGTTTGTGTCAACCATCTCTGATATTGTTTTAATGTCACTTTTGCACCATTTATAACATTTCTGGTATATTTTTAAATGTTTATACAGTAGTGTACCGTATATTGTAATAAACAGAATAGAGGAAATCAGCTCTAATATACATTACTCAGGTGTGCATACTGATCAGGGAGCCCGTCATATGTTCGAGTCATTGGTAAATGAGTAAGATGCTAAGTGAGGAGAGAGGCTGTGTCATATTTCAGTAATGTATTGAATTCGTGTAACAAAATTTAGTTACACTCAAAATGGTGAATAATTTATGTGTTTTTGTTAATCAGTTCTCACTTTGAAAATTAGAAGTTGTACATTCCACCAATAAAGCAAATCAGAGCAATCACTACATGGAGGCATTCAGAAATGCTATGCATAAAAAGAGGGCTTTCCATAAAGTATAGTTTATACATGACAATCACCCTAATTGTACGATTATTATTACTAAAAAGAAAAATTTCCAAAAATGCTCTGCATAACTATGGATTTTTTGCATGCATTACTAAATGTCACCCATCTCTGTACAAACACTATCATGCTGAAATAAAATATTAGTTTTTTTTTTTTTTTTTTTCAACAAGTCGGCCGTCTCCCACCGAGGCAGGGTGACCCAAAAAAGAAAGAAAATCCCCAAAAAGAAAATACTTTCATCATCATTCAACACTTTCACCACACTCGCACATTATCACTGTTTTTGCAGAGGTGCTCAGAATACAACAGTCTAGAAGCATACACATATAAAGATACTGCATTCCTCTTTATTTGTTTGTTTAATCGATTTCATTCACCTAAGACCATAGAGCAACTAAAAATATTTCCCAAGTGCTCAAATTCTCAACTTACAAGTAGAGTCACTGAGAAGATATGAGCAGTCTTCTTCCTTGCCACTGCTATGAGGCAACTGTTTGTACAAGCAAGAAGCCTTCTTCACCTCTCCATCCCACACCATCCGTGCAGCACGCTTCCTGGCGTTACTAGCCTCCTGGTCGTCCTCCTTGAAGATTTCATGGATGGCACTATCATTTTTCAAGGCCATTAGCACCTCCACAAAATCTTTATTTTGCTTACTGTTAAGAGTAAAGGATCTTTCTTTCATATTTTCAGACAGCTTAATTACATCAACATCCCTTAAAATATAATACGTGTAGTTATTTCTTCTCCGTCCATAGGTTAAAATATCGTGAGAATATTTGGCAAAGACTACCTTATGCATGGTGGAAGATGGTAGAGATTTATGAACATTTACACTGAATAATCTCAAATTCTTCTTTCTGTAACGAGCACGGTAATAGTAAATTTTGTGGTTACAGCATCTGCAAGTATAGGCAAAACCATGGACCCTGCTCATTGAAACAGAATTACTCTTTCTATAAAATTTTTCACAAAGTTTGTCATGGTACGATGTTTTGCCCCCAAACGAGTTTTTATCGAAGGCCTTGACGGGCACTTTAATACCAACAGCTCTGCAGGCTTTGACATATGTTTCACTCACTCCTGGACAATATATGTACTGATTCTGAATAAATTTATTTTCAACTTTCTTTAATATATCTATTGATGTAGTTGTATCACTGATGTCTGCTTCTTCAAACACTTTGCCAAGAACAATGATATTTACACTTGATTCATCAATGATGACAAACACTGGCCTCATTATCAGACTTCCATAAAAATCTAAGTCTCGCTTCTCTTCATCAACATAAAATGCTGGGTTTACGACTATTAACAAGCCAGCAGACGTGTGTGCTATTCTTAACCGCTCGGATCTGCTGATAAAATTTATTATTTCCTCAGGTACCTGAAACAAAAAATGCACATATAAAAATTTATAATCTCATTGCACTGAATATTTTTATTTACATTTATTTTACTATACGTATATACATTTTCACATCTTTAAATCTATGCCTAACTTATATTTCTCAACAGTTTGAACTTTATTATTATCTTTTTTTTCAATGCCTAACTTATATTTCTCAACAGTTTAAACTTTGATTAATTATTATTATTTTTTTTTTCAACATACCACCTGTCTCCCACCAAGGCACGGTGACCCAAAAAAAATAAAACTATAAGTTTATCCTCTTTTTATAAGCATTTAGTAATTAACCCATAAACGGTCCAAACGTATATATACATTTTTTCAACATTTGATAGTATGTAAAAAAAGTATATCTTTTTTTTTTTTTACATTTGAAAATGTGTAAAAAACTTTGATCTACTTTTTTTTTGTTATATTTGAAAATATATAAAAAAACGTAGATCTACTTTTGGAGCACTACGCATGTGAACGTAGATCTGCTTGGACCGTTTACGGGTTAATGTAAGGGTTTACCAGTCACTTGCTCCTGATTATTATTATTATTATTATTGAAGAACAAAAAGGCACTATACGGTGACTGGAACAATACGTAAGTAACCTGCATAAAGGAGAGAGAAGCTTATAATGATGTTTTGGTCAGAGTTGCACCAGTTACTAGTTACACTAATACACGAAGGAGGGGGCCAGTAAATGGGCCAAGTCAGAACATAACATCATCATAAGCTTCTCTCTCCTATGTGTGGGTTATCTGGATATTATTATTATTATACTCATGGGAAAGTGCTAAACCCATAAGCATTAAACAACACCTGGATATGGAGGGGTGGAATGTTATCAGGTTTGATCCGATGAAGGAGCAAGTAGCTCCAATTCCTTGGATTAAGACCCATTCACCAGCCACTGAATTACTGCATACAGTAGTCCCATCATATCTGCAGGGGATACATTCCAAGTCCTACTGTGGATACCTGAAACTGCAGATAGTAACAAACCCTATACGTACATGTCGTTTTTCGTTTACATACATACCTATGATAAAGTTTCATTGATAAATTATGCTCAGGAAGTTGAGAATTAGAGCTTTTCACTGATGGGAAGCACTTCACAGTTTCTCTTAGGCTTTGAAGAACTGTCATCATTGCTATTTTTGTGCTTAGGTGCCGTTATTAAGCAAAATTAAGGGTTGTTTTCGGACCATAATAAACTGTGGACAACCGAGACTACGGAAACCAAATCCACAGATATGAGGTTCTACTGTACATGAAAAGTTCGAAGTATAATTCATCTATATGAAAGACAACAACAACATCACATTATACTTACCCATTTGGTATTGTTTTTCATAGACATGTCTGAAATAAATAAATAAATAATGTAAATAATTACATCACATAAATAAAATGTATCTTACATAAAGTACAGTATACTGTACAGTGGACCCCCGCATAACGATCACCTCCGAATGCGACCAATTATGTAAGTGTATTTATGTAAGTGCGTTTGTACGTGTATGTTTGGGGGTCTGAAATGGACTAATCTACTTCACAATATTCCTTATGGGAACAAATTCGGTCAGTACTGGCACCTGAACATACTTCTGGAGTGAAAAAATATCGTTAACCGGGGGTCCACTGTATAATTAAAATCACAAATATGAACACATGCAACAAGGCATGGCAAAAGGCAGGAGAATGAAAAAAAAAAGGTGACAAAATAAAAATAACAGAAATGTTTACAAAATTATATGAGGAAAGATTATTAAAAGTTAACAGCAGGTGTAATTATGTGGTGTATGGCTTAGTGGTCTCACTATCTCACAATCAGAGGGCCCGGGTTTTATCCGGGGATGGGTGGAAATGTTGGGCCTGGTTCCTAACACTGGTTGCCACTGCTTACCTAAAGCAGCAAGCAGGTATAGCACAGGAAGGCCCCGCTTTACAGCACTTCGCTTTACAATGTTTTGGTAATACAGTGGTTTTCAATTACACCTATTCTTCATTTGTTCAGACCTACAATAAATATATTCACCACTCACTATAAGCTAAGAATAAAAGTATTTTAAGGTAAGCAATGTGTGTACTGTATATGAATAATTTTTTTTAGGCCTAGCTATACTGCTCACTTAATAATAGTGTAATCATATTACCAGGCTTTTATATACATTTGAAAGTGAAAAAGGCTATGATTCACTTTACAGCGATTTTTTCCTTAGCTGAAGTAGCCCAGAACCTAACCTGCTGTATAAGCGGGACCTGCCTGTGCCTGGGTGCTAGCTGACTGTTGTGGGTGGCATCCTGGGGGTGGTAATTCAGCCCCTAGACTGGGCTGAGCTTTAATATTAATTGGGGTAAATTCAGTGGTGTAGAAAAAAGTGAACAATAGGTTGAACAGATAAAAATCTTACTTCATGATAAAATTAGTATACAAAAGATGTGGTGAGTACAAATGGTAAGTGCCTGGATAAGGTAAGTGGATGGATGTGGTAAGTGGCAGGGTATGGTAAGTAGACAGAAGTGAAAATCTCAAGAGAACCACATAAATGCTGAAGTGAGAGAATCTTACACATTGTTAGTTGAGTTATGAATATCTTTTTGTTTAATACAAAACTAACATCTCACAGTAAAAGTTTTAATCGTATAAGACTGACTGCACACAGTTATATTATAGTATAAATAAAAAGATTCAAGATTTTGGGCAACAAATATTGTCCTGTACAGTACAACTGCCATACAGTTAATCATAGTATACTATATAACCATTTGAAAAAAGACATATATGATGCACAAAGAAACAGCTATTACAAAAATATACTGTAAAAGCATATTTGGAAATGTCTGAGAATTATGCAATTAATATGTAGAATCATACCTGTGCCTTCTGAGGACGTTCCCGATTTCTCTATTGGAATTCTGTTGAAGGTTCCCTCGCTTGACGATTCTTCCCCTAGTGAGTCAGGATCATTGAGGCCTTCGGAATCACTGTTCATATTGTTGTCCAAATCATTTTCATCATCAGAAGCATCTGTTAAGTAACCACATGTTGAATTTAGTTGGCTTTTGTAAATAACAAGGAAAAAATTCTGAAGGGAAAAAAAACAACCCATTGTACACTGCACAGTGGTAAATCGGGATACGAACTTAATTCATTCCAGAAGGCTGTTCGAGTGCCGATACCGAACGAATTTGTTCCCATAAGGTATAATGTAAATTAAATTAATCCGTTTCAGACCCCCAAAAATGCACATACAAAAGCATTTACATAAATGTTCGAGTTTTGAGTTGTTCGTATCCCAAGGTACCACTGCATATACTTCGTATTTTTCCAGATATATTTGAAGGCAAAATATATTACAACACATATATATAGCAGTCTCTGAGGAAACAAAGATACAATGCCTCATATCGAACAAATCAGAAAAATTCAAGAATGCTATGTATGAAAAGACATCAGAAAGGATTGGTGAGAATGACTCAAATCCTAACAAGGTACATTAGAATAAGAATACAGGAGAGCACTGTTCTTATGACTCAAAAATTCACGACCCCAAATGACAAGTGAAAATTGCAGGTGGGTGGAAAAAGAGCCGTTTTTTTTTTTTTTTTCAAATACGCACATCTAAAACGTTTGATAACATGTTAACACTATTGTATATTAGGTACTCAATATGGCTAGACATAAAAAAAAGTTAATAAAGTAAAATAAATACACAGTACATATAATGCTTACCTTAAAATACAGTGTGGGTAATCCTTCTCTTATGGAACTATTGTACAAAAATGGCAATAACAGTGGAAAAACAATAAAAGCACTGAACATAATGAACAATGGCTTAATTGAAAACTACCAAAATAGTGGGACTTCAAAAATAGGGAGCCAAAAATGCAGTGGCCTCTTGTACTTAGATAATACAATATTGAAAGTATCTGGTAATTCAAAATAAAAATTCTCATAGACAACTGTGTATCTGAAATTAAGAGTTAATGTTCAACAATGATTAGCCTCAAGAATAAAAGTCACATTATCATGAATGGAACAATTCATAACTTCCAAAATGAAAATGAATCATCCTGATCTATTATCAAGTAATTATAGTTGGTGTGGGACTACACACAAATTGTAGTTGATAAAGATACAAGCCTACATGGCAGATTTTTTTCAAGTAGAATACAATCTTAGTTCAAATTACCACATACAAAACATATAGTAATCTGAAGGCCCATAGGATGCACAGCATTTTGGGCACAACCTAGACCAGACTTAATATCTACACAGGATTGTAGTATTTTCGTATTTTTATTTTTTTTGAAAGTCGAGTAAATGATATTAATAGGAATTAGGTATCTTATTTAAGATACTTCTAAGATAATTAATATTAATAGGAATTAAGATACTGCTTTACCTGTAGTGCATGCAAAACAGTATCTTAAATAAGATATCTAATTACTGTTTGTGTGGTTATCACCTACAAGTCACAACCTGATAATGGTCCAAATCACACTGAGCAGTCCTCTAATTTTCATTTCCAATTTGTGGGTAAGTCTATAAATATTTGCCTTCCATGTACAGTACCATCACATTTTTGGGAATGAGGTGATTGCTTGTTGATTTCTTCAGTGTCAGTGGATACCTGTTGTAAGTGAAAGAATAAGAACATTTTAAGTATAGTAGTTATCTAGCACAACAATGGTCAAAGCCACAACAATAAGGACAAATAATATTCTTGATTATTAAAGTTTAGTAGAATAAAACTGACTGATTAATACCTGTCCTTAATAAGAGGGTTCTTGCTGAATATTTTATCTAACTTTCTGAGGGGTGGAATAATATTTTCTTCGTAATACTGATGGCATAACTTTTACCTTTTTGCATTTATGTATTTTTTGTACCTCAGTGGCTGTCTCTCACCAAGGCATGGTGACCCAAAGAAAAAAACATTTCCCATGATTCATTCAACTGCTGTTTTTTCACAACTGTGTTCACATCACAATTCATATTACTCTCCACTGCAACATCTTCACCATATTTTTATGATTTTTAACACACTGGCCATCTCCCAACAAAGTAGGGAGACCAGAAAAAGAAACACTTTCACCATTATTCACACTATCACTGTCTTGCCAGACACAACATTTTCCAAAGCCTTTTACATGCATTTGGAATTACTGAAAATGCAGGCTATATTAAGTACCTTTTAAATATACCCGTTATCCTCTTAGAAAATATTTAAAAAGGACACTGGTGCTGAAACAAAATTGGTGCATTTGTCAGAGGCGTAAAAAAGCCAAAAGTGCGGTGCAGTATAGCTGAGTGAAAGACAGATTAAGACTTTCACTGCATTAAGGATCAGCGATAACATAAATGTCATATGTGAAATATGTACTGTAATGATGTGTTGTAAACTTGAGGAATACAAATTAATTAGATACATTGAATCACCAGTATATCCACTAAATGTACAAAATGACTCTCAAATCTAAAAAAAAATACAAGTCACAGAGAATGGTAAAAAACACCAAAAATGCCCAGGTTGGCTGACAGAAGGAAAAAAGAAGACAAAATAACCATATCATGAAAGGATATGAGAAAATTTATATTTTAGCACCTTCAACAGGAAGAACAAGAGACAATTCTGTAATTATTATCTAACAAAAATCAAAGGGGCTAAAAGGATACAGAATGAAATGTTTTCTTCATGAATATTATAGCAGACTGCTGGAAATGGACCCTGAAAGCAGTAGTGCTACAACTACTGGAAACTTTAAAAAAAAATTGACACATTAAACACTGAAGACTGGACACCATAAGCATAATCCTGCTCCTGTACTTACAAATACTGTAGTTTACTGTAATAAAAAGACAGTAATAATGTTTGCAAAACAATACAAACAAGCAAACAAGAAATACACACTCACAAGACATCCATTTCTAAAAACAGGTTTTATTTACATCATTGGAAATAGATTAGCAATAAAGCACATTTTATTGAGATCATTGTAAATAGATTAGTAAAAAACATATTTTATTTACATCATTCAGATTTTTTTAACAAGTCGGCCATCGCCCACCGAGGCAGGGTGATCCAAAAAGAAAGAAAATCTCCAAAAAGAAAACACTTTCATCATCCTTCAACACTTTCACCTCACTCACACATAATCACTGTTTTTGCAGAGGTGCTCAGAATACAACAGTTCAGAAACATATACATATAAAGATACACAACATATCCCTCCAAACTGCCAATATCCCGAACCCCTCCTTTAAAGCGCAGGCATTGTACTTCCCATTTCCAGGACTCAAGTCTGACTATATCAAAATAACTGGTTTCCCTGGATCCCTTCACTAAATATTACCCTGCTCACACTCCAACCTCTCATAAGGTCCCAAATACCGTTCGTCTCCATTCACTCCTATCTAACATGCTCATGCACGCTTGCTGGAAGTCCAAGCCCCTCGTCCACAAAACCTCCTTTACCCCCTCCCTCCAACCTTTTTGAGGATGACCCCTACCCCGCCTTCCTTCCCCTACAGATTTATACGTTCTCCATGTCATTCTACTTTGATCCATTCTCTCTAAATGACCAAACCACCTCAACAACCCCTCTTCTGCCCTCTGACTAATACTTTTATTAACTCCACACCTTCTCCTAATTTCCACACTTTGAATTCTCTGCAAAATATTTACACCACACATTGCCCTTAGACAGGACATCTCCACCGCCTCCTCGCTGCAGCATTTACAACCCAAGCTTCACACCCATATAAGAGTGTTGGTACCACTATACTTTCATACATTCCCTTCTTTGCTTCCACATATACCTCAATGCACCACTCACCTTTTTTTCTTCATCAATTCTATGGTTAACCTCATCCTTCATAAATCCATCCGCTGACACGTCAACTCCCAAATATCTGAAAACATTCACTTCTTCCATACTCCTCTCCAATTTGATATCCAATTTTTCTTTATCTAAGTCATTTGTTACCCTCATCACCTTACTCTTTTCTATGTTCACTTTCAACTTTCTACCTTTACACTCTCCCAAACTCATCCACTAACCTTTGCAACTTTTCTTTAGAATCTCTCATAAGCACAGTATCATTAGCAAAAAGTACCTGTATCAATTCCCATTTTTTATTTGATTCACGATAATTCAATCCCACCCCTCTCCCCAACACCCTAGCATTTACTTCTTTTACAACCCCCTCTATAAATATATTAAACAGCCATGGTGACATTACACATCCCTGTCTAAGACCTACTTTTACCGGGAAGTTGTCTCCCTCTCTTCTACACACCCTAACCTGAGCCTCACTATCCTCATAAAAACTCTTTACAGCATATATTAATAAAAAGAAACCATTTTAATTTACCATACTTCTTTGCTTCACAAGAAATACACACTCACAAGACATCCATTTGACAAATTTTACCTGACTTCTCTGCTTGCTACTAGCAGCTCCTGCTATGAGTAGATCGTCTTGCTTTCTGATATTACCTCTCGTGACTCTTGTTTTGGTATGCCATTTGACAGTGAAAGGTTCTTCCTGGTCCTGGGAATTTGCCAAGGCTTTGGCCATATACTGTGTCCCATCCATCAACTTATCCTGTACAGTAGCTTTTCTTTTAGTTTTGGTATTGGGAAGCTCGTCATTCTCTGTATCTTCAGATGTGAAGACTTCATCTTGTTGCAGAACCCCTCCTGAGGCCTCCCAATCTTGTTTTAGCATTCCTATTATGGCTTCATTTTTATAGTTTATTCTCCTTTTTGATACATCTTTTGATCTTTCCTTCTCCAAATTATTAGATTTATTAAGTTCAGATATAATTGCTGTACTTTCACAATAAGAAGCCAGTTCACCATGAGCAGTGTCCCCTACTCCAGTACAATCGTCTAGTTCTGTGGCCTCAGCATCAGATTGGGAACAAGTGAATAAATATGGCACAGCTGCTAATCTCAGCACTTTACGTGGTTGACAGTGATCTGTAAAAATGGAAAGATATATATATAATTTAAATTACAGTAATGTAAACTTTTCAGTCTTCAAAAATGGTAGCTAATATATTGAGGTTGCTTTTCCCATAGTTCTATTATGGTATCTAGAAAAGTCACAGAAGCACAAATTTGCAGAATACATTATTTTTTGGTGAATGCTGTAAATTACGTGTATATGCTAATCATCATAACATATCAAATACCAATAATACGGTACTTCCCTGTATTCATGGGTAATATATTCCAAGACCTACAATGGATACCCAAAACCACAGATAGTAGCAAACCCTATATATAATCTGATTTTTGTTTACATACATATCTATGATAAAGTTTAATCGATAAATTATGCACATTAAGTGGAGAATTAACACTCGGTGATAGGAAACACTTCATGACTTCTCTGAGGCTTTGAGGAACTGCCACCATCACTACTTTTGCACTTTGGTGTCATTAAGCAAAATTAAGGGTTATTTTCGGGCCACGGTAAACCAAGGATAAGTGAAACCATGGAAATCAAATCTGCGGATACGGGGGTTCTATTGTATATTATACTTTTAAGTGAAAATTATGTTAATCATCATAATATCCACCTAAAAGTATGGTACATTACTGAATTTCTTAACTTGAAAAAAAGACTAATGCTGATGTGATTCTTTGTCAATTAGGTATATTTCAGATTATTATTACATATTTTCACTGAAAATACTAAAACTTTATGGATGACAGAATGCTATACAGCAGAGGGTAAAGAGATGAATGGGAGGGAAAGAGACGGAGGTGTCAAGGGAAGATTATGGACTGAAAAGATGGTAATTGTAGCTGGTGAAGCAAACCAATGTTACTTATTAAAGAGAGGAGTGTCACTGCAGCAAAAGTGTAGAGTACTTAACACCAACAACTGTGTCAGAAAAACATTTAAGTAAGTTCATGGAGGTATAGGTATACATAAATTATCATACATAGCATCATATGTGTAGATTACCTAGGGAAACCCGAGTCAGATAAAGCGACTTATTTCCATTGGTGTTAAGGTATTAATAATGTCATGCATAAGAGTAGTATGATACCATGCAAGTATTATGTCATTTATTAAGACACATTTTGCCTACTAGAGGATTTCTCAGTCAGTGGACTGAGGAGGCCCCCTGGTGGGAGAAATAACTGCCATTTTTAAATGTCCTAATACCTGTATACATGTATATCTCTTTTCTGCATTCACGGTGAGTATATGTTAGAATCCAGTGAGTTGGAGGATGTCACTCATGTTTTTGCTGTCCATTGATTCAAATTAAATTTTTTCTTTCTTTTCATGTGATACAAAAATAATGTGGTTAATGTGTAATAAAACAAGTTAGGCACGAAAAAAAGCCATTAATATGCAATGCATTTTGGGCAAACTAATTGATGCTATAACCTAAAATGCTCTGCATAACCAAGACCTTTCCATGGTGCCCCATGGCCTGGTGGCTAAAGCTCTCACTTCACAAGGTGAGGGTCCGGGTTCGATTCCTAGTGAGGGTAGAAACAGTGGGCGTGTCGTGTGGGGTTCAGTAAGGAGATAAGAGGGTTCAATTCCATCCCATATTGTACAATGATTTGTTCTTATAGTTTGTAATGCATTACATTGAAACTCATTATGTTAAGTGATTACGTTAACACCCATTACGTAAAACTCATTTTGTTAACATCCATTATGATACAATCCATTAGTTCTAAGTTATATATGAATTTTTTATTGTATAGAATCAGCCCAGAACCACCTGCCTGTTCAGCCTATAGCATAGTAGTGTATGTCGGGACGACATACGTAACATGACCGAGCTGTCAGCATAGTTGCTGATCCTCCTTTACATGTGTTGTATGCATAGATTAGATGAGCATTATAGTACCATCCATGTGTTTATATAGAAGATCCCTTAGGCCTGTGACTGTATGACGTCACGGGATGCAGCGAGCGAGTGAGACGAGCTACCTCGACCTCAGTCGATGCATAGGCATAGAAGGCAGAACACGGCAGGCTGGGCTCCCTCCATCTCCCATTATCACAGTCTGACAATATAGCGTTACCATCCAACAAGTGTGTCTACCTTCAACCCTCTTATCTCCTTACTGAACCCCACACGACAGGCATGTTTCTTTACACTGGTTGTCTATGTTCGCCCATCAGTATAAAATAGGTACCTGGGTGTTAGTGGACTGGTGTGGGTCGCATCCTGGGACAAAACTGACCTAATTTGCGGGAAATACTCAGCATAACAAGCGGCTTTCTATGTAGTAATATGTCATTGATGTCAACTATGGTCTGTATAAGTTGTATCATATACTTATGAAAATAAAGATTATTATTATTATTTATTTCTTATTAACATTTTTCTTCTTATTAATAATACTGTTCTTTATATTATTATTCTTATTATAAGAAAAACCCAAGTTTAACAACCAACATCCTTCCCCCACTAAAAAAAAAGTTCCCAGTTACGTGTCACAAGAAAGAGGAAGACTTTATATGAATGTTTAAATACCATGAGATGATAAGTGTGATGGTTGGTATCTCCAGGGAGTGATGGAGGTGTTATAACTTGCCATCTCTACCACTCTATCACCCCTCCCATCACTAGTGGTCTTGTTATTGTTGGATGTAAGGGTTCATCATGGTATGGTTTATTTTTGTTGGGTGTAAGGGTTCATGAGGCTCTAGAGTATTGTTGTTGGGTGTAAGGGTTCACCACGGTGTGTCATTTAAAGTCCCGCCTCCTACGAGTCCGGGAAAAATATGTTCCCAATTATGGGTGGAAACTAGAAAGAAAACAAAGTTTCCTTTTTGTTAATAAAGTTTCCTTTGAAAAGAGAAACAGGAACATGAAATTCTTAGGTGATTTACTCATATGTTAAACTATGAATGATAACTGTACATGACTGTACTTAGAGGTACCCGTACCTAAATAAACTTAATTACTTACTGACACCTGAACACCGGCAAAACCAGGCGTCTCGCTCAGGAAGCATGTCTACACTCCACCGATGCCACCACTAAAGTCCTCTCCATAACTGCCGAGCTACTTATCGTTAAGATAAGATATGATATGTTCGGGTTTTTAACCTAGAGGGTTGTCCACCCAGGATAACCAAGAAAGTCGGTGCTTCATCGAGGGACTGTCTTACTTCCACTGTGATCTTCAATCTTGTGCTCCAGAATGCGACTCACACCAGTCCACTAACACTTAGGTACCAATTTACTGTTAGATGAGCAGGGACAACAGGTGTAAGGTGACTAACACCAGGTAGTACCTATTTAATGCTAGATGAACAAGAGCAGAAGGTGTAAAGTGGCTAACACCCGGGTACCTATTTACTGCTAGGTGAACTGGGACGGCAGATGTAAGGTGAATAACACCAGGTACCTCCTTACTGCTAGGTGAACAGGGACAGCAGATGTAAGGTGACTAACACCCAGGTACCTACTTGCTGCTAGGTTAACAGGGACAGCAGGTGTAAGGAAGCATGTCCAACAATTCTACCCGTGCCGGGGATTGAACCCTGGACACTCAGTGTGTGTGAGGCGAGAGTGTTCCCTACCAAACCACGGGTTATAAATTTTCATAAGGCTCTAGGAGGTATGTTATCTTTTGTTGCAAGGACTCATGAGGACCTAATACTCATTTCTTTTAAAGTTTCAGGCATAAGCTTACATTTTTGTAATGGCCTTGAGGGGATGCAAGTGTCAAGGATTTACATATATAGTATAATATTTATAATTAACCCAGGTTGTTATAACCTAGGTTGGTTTATTAAGTTAAAAATCTACCAGTTATCAGTGTCTGTCTCAATAACCACAGAACACAAATAAAAAATATTTTAATTGTTAATATAATGATTAAAGTACGTTCAGTGTATATACACTGAATGACTGTAAAAACTGATATTCCACAAATAATTCTCACATAGGAGAAAAGAACTTATAACTGCGTTTCAGTCCAACTTGGATCATTAATTAGTCACACACCAACACACGAAGGTTAGGTTAAGTAAAGTATGTCAGGAAACAAGAAAAGTGTTTCCTGACGCGGGTCTTAGTCGTTTGATGACCCACAGATGAAGCTTTTGGTCACCTGACGGAGGCCTTCTGCTGGCTTACCCCTCCGTCCTTTTAAAAATTATGGTTACGATTATAAGCATTTCATCTTTACAGGAAGGTAAAAGAGCCAGTATATATACGACAGAAGGGCAGAGACCCGAGTAAGGGAGAAGGAATGAAGAAGTGGATAGTGATATTGATATAGGTCTCTTTGAACACTGACTTTCTTGGGTTACCCTATGTAATTTACACTATGTATGATAATTATACTTATTTGTACCTGTGTCTAAATAAACTTATTTACTACCTTCACTGTACCTGAAAAAACTTCCTTCACAGGTTAAATGTGAAGCGGGGTTCAATACGGTCTTAGCTGCCAGTGGCCCTATAAACCAACAAGAGGTTAACACATTCCTTGTTAATATTGGCGTAAGCTGCCAGTGGCCCTATAAACCCCATCAACAACAACACACTGTTAATATTGTAGTGCTCTGTGAACACAGGGTTTAGCTCTCGTTTTTTTCTTTAAATATGCAGATTGTCCTTCTTTGTATCTAAAGTTAATATCCATAACTCACTGTATCCATGTATATGTAGTGAATGTATACCGTGTTATCACGTGATGCTTTATTCAGGACAAATACTTAAAGGTTTATCTGTATAGTCCTTGTGGCTTAGCGCTTCTTTTTGATTATAATAATAATAATTAAAGAGGGTTCATGATCCAAGGAGGTAGAGCTATTTTATCTTCCCTTGAAGCTGATTACCTCCCATTCCACAGGCAGTGTGTGACTCCTACGAGTTTAACATTACAAATAACCTTGCAAAGTCATCAATGTATTCTTTCTCTGTCTTTATTCTGAGGATAAATGTTGGCGTACATTTTGCTAAATTATTTACATTTAACATACGTTAACCCAACAGTGTCAATATGACTTATTTCCATTATGTATACTAACAGTTTTTTACAATATTTATGGCAGAGATAGACTTGATGCAGTGTAGACACTGTACCCCTCCAGGGAGATTAGTAATTAAGTTTATTTAGATACAGGTACACTTAAGAAGCACATAAGTTTCCCCGTCTTCTGATAACATGGTTATTTTTCCACTATAATCTACCTTGTCCATAATTACTATCACATTTGCCTTGTTTTGTAAGGTGAAGTCCAGGATCTTTCCTTAATTCATGGTATAACTTAAAGTTCTACCATGAGCTTCACTCAAACCTCTACAACATTATTTTCTAATATTTCTCTTCTTGTTCTTTATTTACATATTACTATGCTGTAGTTAGTTTTATTATTAATAATGTCTGGATAGGTTGTGACTTTAATAATTTCTGTGTGGGTGACAGGCTTTAAACCTAATAAACTTAAGTGGACAGGCTTTAAACCTAATAAACTTAAGTGGACAGGCTTTAAACCTAATACACTTAAGTGGACAGGCTTTAAACATAATAAACCTAAGTGGGCAGGCTTTAAACCTAACAAACGTAAGTGACTTGCTTATAGCAATTATAATAATGACTCAAGTTTTATCACTATTAATATCATCCTTTCTTTCCTCAGACGCACTATAAAGATTTCCCCATAATGTGTTACAAGGAGTATAGAGTACAGAATGTGAGTACAGTACAGTATTGGATTGCTGTTTTAACTTTAGCACTATTGTATTCAGTACTAACTAGAGCTGTTATTCTTATACGTATTCACAAAGAAGCACTAAACCCGTTAAGTGCCTGGAAAAATGTGAATTAATGAGGCTTGATCCGAATCAAGAGCCCTTACTGCCCTTGAAGGGTGGCTATACCAGTACTGTACTGATTTAAGAAATGGAGGACTATTTGGCAAATGACGAATAATGAGAATAGATTTGATCACTCCGGTTGTTATTGCAGCTATCATTTTAATTTCTTGTATGTCAACTAAAAAAAAATTGACCAGTCACAAGAAAATATAGTCTGGATTACTACAGTATAATATAGTCAAACTTTCAGATTTGCAGTCTTCCAAATTCATGAACTTAAATTATCTACTTTTACTGAAATACAGTGGTACCCCAAGTTTTGAACTTTCTTCGTTCCAGAAGGCTGTTCAAGTGCCGTTACCGAATGAATTTGTTCCCTTAAGGAATAATGTAAATTAGATTAGTCTGTTTCAGACCCCCCAAAAATACACTTACAAAAGCACTTACAATAATATACTTACATAATTGGTCGAGTTGGGAGCTGTTTGAAATTCAGGGTACCACTGTAACTTTAATTTTAAGTCATAGCGGAGTAGTGCTCACACACAATGCAACATATTTTTCCTTTTCTAATCCACATTGTTAGTTTTGTGTTACTGTTTTTTTTTTCTACATGCTAACTGTCTCCCACTGAAGCAGAGTGACCTAAAAAAGAATAACGCTTTCACCATCATTCAACGCTTTCACCATCATTCAACACTTTCACCATCATTCAACACTTTCACCATCATTCAACACTTTCATGATCATTCAACACTTTCACCATCATTCAACACTTTCACCATCATTCAACACTTTCGCCATCATTCACACATAATCATTGTCTTTGTTGAGGTGCCCAAACAGCCAATATCCCCAACCCTCATTTAAAGTGCAGGCATTGTACTTTCTGCCTCCAGGACTCAAATCCAGCTAACTGGTTTTTCTGAATCCCTTCACAAAATATTACTGTTATACTGGAAATTTTGTGAAAAAAAAAAAAGTGTAATACCACTGCATTAGAAAGTCACTTGGCATCAGGTGCTAAATAAAGATGCAGTATAAATATCCCATTGTCAGTTAAATTATTTATAGTGTATATTTTTATAGCTATTTTTGCTACTTTTGTAAATTATAGCCATGTTAAATAAAGTGTAGTAACTTTTTCTATGGTTTTGCAGGATTTAGTTAACTGTCATAACAGCAAAGGGTAAGTTAAACAAAAGTTAAATTTAGTGAGAAATTTATTAATCAAACTTTGTAAACTGGAATGGACTTGAAATCCATTTCACAGTTTAACTGCATCACATAGTTTAACTACAATTTCACAGTTTAACTACAGTAAGGATATCCTAGATGAGTTGCAGATTTCTTCAATAGAATGAACCTATTTCTATGTTATATGTAAGAGTTTTGATACAGTTTCTGCTTAATCAGGCTCCAGCTGCTGCATACTACATCCCAAATTTCATCACACAAAATGAGGAGGAATATCTTATGCAGCAAATTTATGCAGCTCCCAAGCCCAAATGGAAGGAACTTGCACACCGACGGCTGCAGAACTGGGGAGGACTGCCTCACCCTAAAGGAATGGTTGAAGAGCCTATTCCATCTGTGAGTATTAAACTATGAACACACACAAATATATTTTATACATCAAAACTAGACTGACGCTATTTTTACTGATGCTGAATATGTAAATGACCTATCAGAGTTGATCAACTTTTATGTGTTTGCAGTTGATGCAAAAACTTTTTTTTTTCATCCCCTTAGCCATTTTTTGCTGTCTTGCCAGAAGTGCATGAAACTATTCAAATGACCTCAATTGTAACTTCTTGATCCTTCTTTCAGAGTGCACTTACTGTTCAGCATACATCTAGAACTGAGATCTGACTGATCAGTTTCCCCTTAATCTCTTCATATATCTTACCCTGATAATGATAGCATCATGTTAAATCCCAAAATCTCTCATCTCCACTCACTTCGGTCTAACAGACTCACTCATGCCTACTTGGATGCTCAAGTCTCTACCACTTAAAACTTTCACACCCTCCCTATGACCTATTCTACAGGCCTACATCTTCCATCTACCCCGGATTTGTACACAATTTTGGTCAGGCTGTCCTACTGTCCTAAATTATCAAACCATCTCACAAACCCCTCCTTCACCACCTACTTCATGCATTTGGAATTCCTGCCACATTGCTTCCCTGTTCATCCTAAAGTCTTTTTAAATCCATAAATGCAACAAACAAGTGTATTGTTCACTTGTACTCTTTTAATGAACCAGAGAGTATTTTTTGGTGTTAATAATTTCCTATAGCTATTGTAAGAGATTATATTTTTCACATGCTACTCATTCAGTTTGTGCACTTAATGTTTTAAACTATGTTGCCACCTGGAATTAGTGCTTCTCTTGCGAATACAATAATTTAGACAGCTGTTGAGTTTAAAAAATTAAACTTTTATTCTTATACAGAATTGTATATATAGTACATACATATTAATCTATTCATTTTTCAGTGGTTACAGGAGCAGATGGACAAGATAACTACACTAAGAGCCTTTGAAGACAAGATACCAAACCATGTACTTGTGAATGAGTACCTCCCTGGCCAGGGTATAATGGTACTGTATTACCAACACTTTCTCTACAGTTATTTTTGTTACTTTTCAAATGAATGCATTAATTCTTTATCATTTTTACTTTACACTGTTGAGCTTTATAAAGCATTTTCCTCAACAGTTTTAAAATTTCATTTTAATTTTAGAAATAAACCTAAAAAAAATTAAATTTAGCCAAATCCTTGGAGTAGACATAAATGATTGTAGAGGATATGTAGTGCATGAATTTTTTTAAATTATCTCTGCCAATACATATTAAAATGCTGTTACTTTTAGATTCAGAATTTACAGAAATTTTCATTAATTTAGTTTAGAATTATCCTATACATTCACAGTAATGTGCCCATGATGCTGAAGAGCTCTTGCTCAGAGAAATTGAAGCTACCTTCCTTGGATCAAACTTAATTACCCCCTATTTCCCAGGTGCTTTATGACTGCTGTGGGTTTAGCACTTACCATGATTATAATAATACTTTCTGTTCTACAATTAGGGCACCGAGTTTCACACAAATTTTCCGTTATGCATTTATTTTTATTTTTATTATCACACTGGCCGATTCCCACCAAGGCAGGGTGGCCCGAAAAAGAAAAACTTTCACCATCATTCACTCCATCACTGTCTTGCCAGAAGGGTGCTTTGCACTACAGTTTTTAAACTGCAACATTAACACCCCTCCTTCAGAGTGCAGGCACTGTACTTCCCATCTCCAGGACTCAAGTCCGGCCTGCCGGTTTCCCTGAATCCCTTCATAAATGTTACTTTGCTCACACTCCAACAGCACGTCAAGTATTAAAAACCATTTGTCTCCATTCACTCCTATCAAACACGCTCACGCATGCCTGCTGGAAGTCCAAGCCCCTCACACACAAAACCTCCTTTACCCCCTCCTCCAACCCTTCCTAGGCCGACCCCTACCCGCCTTCCTTCCACTACAGACTGATACACTCTTGAAGTCATTCTGTTTCGCTCCATTCTCTTACATGTCCGAAACCACCTCAACAACCCTTCCTCAGCCCTCTGGACAACAGTTTTTGTAATCCCGCACCTCCTCCTAACTTCCAAACTACGAATTCTCTGCATTATATTCACACCACACATTGCCCTCAGACATGACATCTCCACTGCCTCCAGCCTTCTCCTCGCTGCAACATTCATCACCCACGCTTCAACACCCATATAAGAGCGTTGGTAAAAACTATACTCTCATACATTCCCCTCTTTGCCTCCAAGGACAAAGTTCTTTGTCTCCACAGACTCCTAAGTGCACCACTCACTCTTTTTCCCTCATCAATTCTAATTCCCCTTCTTTCTTTCATGGACCCATCCGCTGGCACGTCCACCCCCAAATATCTAAATTTCTTTCCCACCTCCCCCCATACTCTTTTCCCCCCAAATTTCTGATTTCCAATCTTTCATCACCAAAATTTTTTTGTTATCCCCCAAAAACCTTACTCTTTCCTGTATTCACCTTTAATTTTCGTCTTTTCCCACCCCCAAAACCAAATTATCCCCCAAATCTCTGCAGCTTCTTTTCGGGAATTTCTCCCAAGGGGCACAGTGTCATCAGCAAAGAGCAGCTGTGAAACCCCCACTTTGTTTTGTGTATTCTTTATTTTTTAATAAAACGCCTTTTTCCCCAAGCCCCTCGCATTTCCCTTCCTTAAAATCCCACCCTATAAATATTTTAAAACCCAACCCAGGGGGTGACACACACACCCTTTGGGTCTAAGGCCTACTTTTACGGGGAAAAAAATTTTTTCCCTCTTTCCTACTTTTATCAAACGGGAAGCCCACTACCCTCGTAAAAACTCTTCACTGCTTTCAGTAACCCCTCCTACACCATACCCTTGCAAAATCTGCCACATTCCCCCCCTATCCCCCCTGTCAAAAACGTTTTTTCCCCCAATCCAAAAAATGCCCAAAGACCTCTTTAGCCTTATCTAAAAATGTTCACTTTTTTAGGGTTTCACTTAAAAACCTGGCCCACACACCCCCTCCCTTTTTCCTAAACCCCCTTTGTTCTTCTGCAAACCTATTCCCCGTCTTATTTTTAATTCTTTAAAATTATAACTCAAAACCTTTACACTTTACCAGGTACACTCAACAGATTATCCCCCAAAAATTTTTGCACTCTTTTTTTATCCCCTTTCCCTTTAAAAAAAGGGAAACAATGCTTTGCCCCTCTGCCAATCCCTAGGTACCTTCCCCTTTTCCCTTTACTTTTAAAAAAAATTTAATTGCACCAACCACTCCAAAAATTATATCCCCCCCTGTTTTTAACATTTTTCATTTTAACCCAAATAAATTTCCCGGCCCCCTTACCCCCTTTTCCCTTTTTCCCTACTCCCTTTACGAATTTTGGGCCCCACACTCACAATGGCTCTTCCCCCACCCCTACAAGATGTTTTTCCCTCCTTGCCCTATACACAAAATCACAGCTTCCCTATCTTCATCAACATTTAAAAATTTCCTCAAAATTTTCCCCCCTCCATCTTCCCAATACCTCTAACTCTCCTTTTAAAAAACTCTCCTCTCCTATTTTTAATGAAAAAACCCTTTTGGGGGTTCTCTAGGCTTTCAAAACTTGTTAATCTCACCCCAAAAAATTTTTTCCCTTTTTTTCAAAAAAAATTTTGTTGAAAACTTCTCCCCCCACCTCCCATTTGCTCTTTTTTTTAACATTGTTTAACCCACTCTTTTAAACCTCTTCTTTTTCTCCATATACTTTTCCCCTTTCCTTGAACATTTTCTCTTTGAAAAAAACTTCTCATATGCTAACTTTTTCCCCCTTACTACCTTTTAAACATCATCATTCCACCAATCGCTCCTCTTCCCTCCTCCCAACCCCTTTTTCCCTTTTAACCACAAACTTTGCTGAACATTTCAAACACTACATTTTTTTTTCCTACCCCATACCCCTTGACCCATTGCCTATTCTCTCATTAGCCCCTTTTAACCTCCAATAGCTGTCTTAAAATCTTACCCTAACGCCTCCCTCTTTTTTGTTTTAAACCTTCACCCCTCTCTTCCCCCCCGAAGCTTTTTATTTCCTTGTATCCCCTCTACCTTTTTCTCTCAGTGTGCTACAACTGAAAATGATTGATATAAACTGTTTGGCCCCTCTATAAAAAATGTACCTTTCCCGAAGTCACTCAACAGTCTTTTATCTACCAATTAAAATAATCCAACAAATAATGTCAAATTTTGCCCTACACATATCGGGATACTTAATTTTTCCTCTTTTTTCCCTTTAAAAAATGTATTACCTATAACTAAAAACCCCCCTTTTTATACAAAGTTCAATCAAAGGGCTCCCATTTTCATTTACACCTGGCAAACCCCAAAATTTTCCTACCACACCCTCTCTAAAAGTTTATCCTTTTAGCAAATTTGGTTCCCCCCACCAATTTTTTCTTATTGGGTTTAAAGGGGGCCCTTTTCCTTTACTTAACATCTCCCAAAATTTTCTTCTTCCTCGCATTCCTCTCTTCTCCAGGTGCATCCGGCCCTTTTTAAACCCACTTCTCGCACCAACCTTTACTTTAATCCACAAATTCTTGAATTTCACATTTATATTCTTTTTTTCCCCTTCCATAACTGATCATTTAAAATTACTGTACCCCCTTCCTTTTTTCTCCCAAAATCTCTCAGGGTTTTCCCCGAATTTTTTAAAACCCATTTTTTCCCCCCCCTGAAACCTTTCCCACCCCCTTTAGCTTTGGGTTTCCCCTTAGAGCCCGGGCATCCAAATTCTTTTCATTCATAACCAGCAATCATCTGTTTTTTTGTCTCCCCCACTACATCCACGCACTTTTAAAACATCCCCCGTTTTTTTAAAAATTTTGTTTTTCTTTCCTTTTTTTTGTAAATGTATACAGGAAAGGGGGTTTCTAACCCATTGCTCCGGGGATTTTAGTCCCCCCTCATACGAAAAAACGCAAGGGTTTTCGGAGGGAAAATTCTTTTCCCCTTCCCCCTGGACCCAAAAGAAGAAATAAAAAGAAAAAGAGCTTTTTTAGAAAAAAGGGAGAAAAAAACCTTGATGTATGTATATATATAAAGCATGTGGTTTTCTGTGAAGTGTGACCAAAGGGGTAAATTAAGGGGGAACAAGATATCCCTGTTATCTGCGTGGGTTTTTGAGACAGAAAAAAAAAACCAGCAATCCCAAACCCTCATGCAAACAGTTTCAGGTTTTTGTTTTACAGTCATTTGGCAGGACGGTAGTACTTCCCCGGGGGGTTGCTTTTCTACCAAACCCATAAACCCATATTTATATTATTTTTTTTTTATTTTCAACGGTCGATTCCCCCCCAAGGGGGGTGGCCCAAAAAAAAAAACTCTTTACCATCATTTACTCCCCTCACTGTCTTGGGCCCGAAGGGTGCTTTTCACTACAGGTTTTTTAAAATGCAAAAATTTAAAAACCCCCCCCTTCAAAATGCAGGCACTTACTTTCCCCTCTCCGGACTCAAGTCCCCGGGCCCGCCGGTTTCCCGGAAAACCCCTTTAAAATGGGTTTCTTTGGGTCACATTTTTAACGCACGCAAATTAAAAACCAATTTTTCTTTCCCTTTCACTCCTATCAAACACCTCATGCATGGGCCCGCGGGGAAATCCAAGCCCCCCCCGCACACCCAAAAACCCCTTTACCCCCTCCCCCCAACCCTTTTCCCAGGGCCACCCCTACCCCGCCCCTTTCCCTTTCCCCTACAGACTGATACACTCCTTTAAGGCATTCTGTTTTCCTCCATTCTCTCTACTTTTCCAAACCACCCCAAAACCCTTCCCCAGCCCTTTGGACAACGTTTTGGTAATCCCGCACCTCCTCCTAAATTCCAAAAATACAAAATTTCTGCATTTATTCACACCCCCACATTGGGCCCCAGACATGACATCTCCATGCCCCCCCAGCCTTCTCCTCGCTGAAAAAATTCATATTTCCCGTGTGCTCGAAATAACCAGAAATGATAAAAATTTTCCCGGGATTTGTTTAAAGTAACATTAGTAAAAACTGAAAAAAATAAACCCAAAACCCACCCTTTGGGCCCCGACCTTGATCGTATAAGGAGCCCGACTGGGTTTTTAAAAACTTTTTTTGGGGAAAAAAAGGGACGCTTAATATCCCAGAAAATATGGTACATGTATATGTTATTTTCAGTTTGTTTACATTACATGCGAGACGTTGCATGGCAAAACGTAGAGTAAGCACAAACATGGCCAAAATCTGAGTTAGTGAATAAACAAATTTCTTAGTGTCTCAGTTGTTTGTGGGACTGTAAATACTGTCTTCCACTTCTTTGTTAGGCTCAGAGCCCTATAACAAAATATAGTAACTTGAGCTGCATAGCTCCGATCTCCCGCATGACTGCGCTTTTCTCCACTGTCTGAATTTGAAGTTTGTTATTTTCTGCCGTAAAATGCCTCATATATTAACTTATATTTCTGTATAGTTACGCAATAATAATGACATTGAAAAAATGAAGGCTAATGCCAGATAGTGCATAGAGTTTCAGGACATTTCAAGCATGTGTATTCCCATGAATGATAAAAAATTTGGAGGATGGATTGAATAATAATGATAGTAATCTATAGTACAGTACATGTACTGTAATTAAAATTATTGTAATCATGTAGGAGTGCTAAACCCATAGGGATTATACAGTATCTGTGGAGGGGGAATGGAAGGTATTCAGGCTCAATTCAGGGAACTGGAGCACAGATCCAATTTCCTAGATCAAGAGCCCCTCACCAGCATCAAGGAACATCCCTTGAGGGGACTGTAATTAAAGAGAATGAAACATACATTCCACAGTAATTAGAAATGATGGAACATTCTACAGTACTAATTAGAAGGAATAAAATAAGAGACTATTTTATAGTAAGTTTAAAGAATGAATCTTAGAAAGAATGATTCATAGAACCGGGTAACACTGAAAATGGGTTTGGCAAATATTTTTGTCACTGGGTTTTGAGTTGAGAAGGACCTGCCTAGTATGGGCCAGTAGGCTGCTGCAGTGTTCCTCCTTTGTATTCTATTCTTTTCATTTTTCAGCCCCATGTAGATGGTCCCATGTTCTACCCAACCATCACTACCATTAATATTGGTAGTCACTCAGTGCTGGAGTTTTACACACCTCTGCAGTTACATGAAGAAATGGAGCAGTCGCGAAGCCTTTCCATGCGAAACATCGGCTCTCTCCTTCTGGAGCCTAGAAGTCTCCTCATTCTTAAGGAAGATATGTACACTTCCTATTTGCATGGCATTAGTCAGGTCACACAAGATACTGTGACCCAAGATATGTTTAATTTTGAACAGTGTACTCCTATGCTTGGGGATGTTCTAACCAGGGGAAAAAGAATTTCCCTAACCATTAGACATGTTCCAAAAGTGCTCAAAGCAAAGTTAGTGTTTGGAAGAGCAAGATGATAAATTGAGTGACATGATGTAATTCTCCAGTGTTTAAAAATTACAAATATGCTGTGTTAAAATAAATATATTTTACCCAGAACTGGTGATATTTTAATTTCAAACCTTTTAATTGGTATGATAGTGATATTAAGCCAAGTGTTGCTTCTCTGACTGTTTAACTGCATGTTTTTTTTTTAATATCTAGTTCCTTCAGAAGGGTGGACCTTGAGGAAAGAATAAAAAATGCGACAATACCATAACAAAAAAAACAATACACAAAAAAACCCCTGCAGTAGGAAAAAGGGAAACTTTTTATGAGGTTTTTTTTTGGGTCCAACTTTGAGGGTTTTAGTGTTGGCCCAAAAATATCATATTTTTTTTGTGCAGATTATTTGAGAAAGGGGGCCCTTAGATGCTGGAAAAGGGGTTTTTTGATTCATGATATTGGAGCTACTCCCCATTCCTTGAATAAAACCCTGATTGACTTAAATTCGAAAAAAGGATTACAAAACCCCTTTAAAGGATTTAGTTTTTAATTAAAGAGTACGATAACTGTTTTGAAGAGTTGTGCTTTTGATTTGTAAAACTCCCCCAAGGGGGGTTTCCCTTTTGATACCAGTGAGGGGCTTTTGACCCAAGGAATTTTTCCTGATTTTTTTAATCGAATTGGTTGCCTCCATTCCCCCTCGGTGCTATAAACCCCTATGGGTTTTAATGTTTCCCCCCAAAAGACACCATGACCCGTTTTTGGGAGTGTTCCCAAAAAACGCAATTCTAAAAGCTTGGGAGATCTCCAGTGAATACTAAAAAAGGGGACTGCCCTTCTAGCATCCACCGTTACGGGTTTTTCTTTAAAAAAGTTTTCAGTACCCTTTGCCCAATTATCCATTAAAATTTCCCCAGTATGGTTAAATAGGCTTTGGGGAATACAACTGGTAGGTACAAAAACTAGAAAAAAAAAAAATTTTAAAATAAATTTATTAAGTTTAGGGGTTATTTTCAAATTAAATTAAATCACGCAATCAAAAAAAAAAATAAATTCTCTCGATTTAAATATTATTGTGCTAAAAACCCAACAAATCAATTTATAATTCTTAAGTACCGTAGGAAATTTAAAACTTTTAAATTAAGATTTAAAAATATGTACAATGTGTGTTGCGTGTAAGTGCTTTTAAGAATTTGGGGCTATGTTCTAGACTCAAATAAGATTTAAAACCAAGGGGACTGCCCAAAGTCCTCAAATAAACTAATTCTTGACCAACTGGAAACCCCAAACGTTGTTTTGAACAACAAAGAATGCTAAGCCCAATAGCAATGCAATATAAGGGGCTGCGACACAGAATCGGGAAAAAAGGAGATAATAAAAGGGACACTAAAGTAGGGGACCATAAAGCAGACCTCCAAAAAAGTTCCCAAAACTACCATAATACTGAATCTATTTTCAGCATGGGGAAAAACTGTGACTGGGGAAAAAAACACGGGAAACCCATTAAAAAAATTAGGTCAAAAAGGCTATAGCTAAGGCCCCCCCCCCCCCCCCTTTGGATGCTCAGAGTGTCTATTAAACCCCAAACTAGTACAACGTCAAAAATCACTAAGTTTTTTAAAAAATGTTTTTGTGAACAAATTTCTACAAAAACTAAAAAGGGAAAAAATTAGACGACAATCTGCCCAACCCAGCAAGCAAAGTCTCGAGCAGACGGGAATTATTTCACGAGAGGTGGGGAAACCCCCCCCCTCATCCCCGTGTTTGTACGGGGGGACAATGCACCCTCAAAAACCCGGGGCGTAAAAACGAGCAAAGCGATAATTACAGTTTTTTGACAATCAAGACAAACTGAGCACATTTTTTTAAAACACCCTAACAACTTTTGTTTTAAATAACAAATATAAAAGTCAAATAATAATAAAAGTCAAAATTTAGTTTTTTAGCTATTATGAAAAATATAAGCAATTTTAAAATTAAAATAAAAAAGATAATATACATTAAAAATAAAACTAATAATAATTGAAACCCATTCAGGGGTTTGAAAAAACCCCCCCAAAAAACGACAGAGGGTGGGCCTAGGAGTTGCTTTAAATGTTTTAAAATTTATTTCTGATTACTCATATAAAATACTAAGGAGTCTCTCTTGTTCCCCAAGCACCTTAAAAATTTCCCACAGCTTTTCCGTCACTAGGATGTACTAGGGAAATTAACAGTATGTATCTCTGCATATTCGGGGATTATGTACATCAGTGTAGAGACAGGATAGCGTTGACAAGGAGGGCACTGAGGCTCGATCATTGTAGGGGAAAGCTGCTTTCCCACTTTTTAAAGTTAGGGGTTTGTGGAATGCGAGGCAGAAAAAAAACATTGAGTATAAAAACGGGGTTTTTAAAAGGGTGGTAGCGAGGGGGGGGGGGGGTCTGCGGAAGGACAGTTTTGGGGGTAACCCCATTCACCCCCGCCCCACCAAACCCACTCAACACTCAGTTTTTCCCCTCCTCACAAAATTTTTAAATGGGGAATATATAAATAAAAATAATTAGACATGACATGAGTATATTTAGTTAATATGGGTTTGGAGGGATTAAGTTACTTTACTGAATTTGACATAGCAAGTAAAAAAAGGGTTTATTTGGGCAAAAAATTACTTTAAATTTAAATAACTGAAAATTATTAAGGACGGGGCAAAAGGCGTCGGGAATTTAAACATTACAATGCCCATTTTAGGGTTGTTTTACTAATAGAAAAAAGGGTTTTGGAAATTCTGGGGGCCCCCAACCTCATGACCCTAGAAATTTTACTCTTCATGGTGTTTATAAGGTGGGTGGATTGTGGGTTCTAAAAAAAAACGTTAATTTTAAATGGGGAAGTGCCAAATACACGTCCAAAAATGTTCCAAGGCACCACAAGAGTGAGCCTCTTTCTCAAAAGTGGGATAATTTTTCTGGTGTCGTTTAAGCTTAGATGAATTTGTAACATTTTAGGATGGAGGAAAATCAGTGGATGTTGACTGTTGGAGCGCACGCACCACTGATAGCCCTCGCATCTTTATGTAAAAAAAAAGGGAAGATGGGGAAAATTTGGACTCTTCAACACAGGGAGCAGAGGATAGCAAGGGGCTTAAACCTTTTTAACGAGGGTTTTTAAAAATCTCTAGTCCCGGGGGGAAAATGAAAATTTGAATAGTAAGCTCAGTGAGAGGAGCTGCAATTTTGGAAAAGTTTGGAACCCGAACCCGCGATAAATCCTGCCATACCCCGGGGAAACTCTGTACCCTTTCCCATCCTGTGGCACTGGGGAAATTTTAGAAATTTCCCCCGAACCTTAGCCCCCAAAAGGAGCAAAACCCCACCTTGGCCCATAACCCAAAAACCTAGTAGGTAATCTTGGGTTTAAACCCAAAAATACATTTTTGCTAAGTTAACAGGGAAATTGTAGTGCGCCAGGTCTCCCCAAACAAAGCTCTGAGACGGCAAGTGCTGTTTCCCCCTCGTCACTGTTTCACCACTAAGTCGTCAAGGTAGGTTTTCTCCTTCAAGTTGTGGGTCAACTGTTCATTTGGTTGGGTTAGGTAAGGTTCGTCAGGAAAAAAGGGGCAAAAAACTGGTTTATTAACGTTTGGGAAAAAGGGAAAAAGCCGCGTTTCATAGGGCCCAAGGGGGTGACGAGGGGAAATTAAAAAATCCATCTTGAACAGTAAAAAAACAGATTTTTTTTGAAACACGTTCAGTTAAAACGGGGGGGTTGATAAAAGCCTCGTAAAGATCTAAACGGGTGACCAAAAAGGGGGTCTGGAAAACCCGGGCAAAAAGGTCGTCAATGCGAGGTAGAGGATTTAAAACCCCGGGAAAGGGGACAGAGTTCACTTTCCTGTAACAGTGCACATCCTGAAACTAAACCCTCAGTTTAGGCACTAAAAAAACAGGGGGGTGTCCCATGGACTTTTACTAAAGTTTAATAAAATCCCTGAGATAACAGAAAATCAACCCCCTTCTTCAATGGGTTTATGCTTTGTTGGGCTCCCTTTTTTTATTTTGGTTTATTGCTTAATGGGTGATTCCCTGTACAATTTAACGGGCATGTACACCCTGAGTACAACCCTTTAGGAAAAATCCCCCGAACAATTCAGGGGAAAAAGCAAAATCTGTTTTTAATATCAAAGCCTTTTTTCAATCCCCAAAGGGTTTCTAAGAAAAAGTCAAATGATGTAAAGGTTTACAGAAAATTTTTTAAACGAAACCCCTATACCCCCTAGGGAGGTCAGGTAGACTGACATTTTTTTTCCTCTGTTTCCCAGGGGAAAAATAGAAGGGGTAGGTAGGGGACTAGCGTAGTATGTCTTGAGTGGTTAACATGGTAACATGATTTAGATTTCCTTTTTTTTTCCCCGGGGTAGTCCAAAATAATTTACGTCGCAAGCTTTTTCACTACTTCCCGGGGGCCATCATACCTGGGTTGTAGAGCAGACCTGGTACTAAATTTTTTTACCATCACCTTATCTCCTGCTTTAAAAGAAAAGAGAGACAGCACGTTGTCATTAAAGTTTCTTCATTTAGGTTGGGCTGAAAAATAGGGTTTTTTGAAAATTTGCTCTAGCGGCGGGCAAATGTTGCTGCATTAATGAAGGTGAAGTTTCTCAATGATGGGAAATTTTATTTTCCTGTCCACACGTCTTTTAACACTGCGGAGGGGCCACGCACTTGGTGTTCCCCAATATTAGTTCAAACGGGGCCCAAAACCCCAGACTTTCTTGTTTTCCCTTTTTCTCATAGCGAACAGAAGAAAAGGAAAACCCCCCATCCCGTCTCTAGGAAAAATGTTCACAATTTAAACTCTCATCCTGGACTTCAGTGTCTGATGGAAATTTTCCCCTGGCACCTTGTGATGTGGTGGAAAAACTGGTTGAAGTACAGCCTTTTTTCCCAGGTGGGAAATGCTTCTCGAAAGATCTTAGAAGTGAAATTAGATCCCTGATTTTGATTGGGATTTTCTCGGGGGCAATCCCAAACCCGGGGAAAAAAAAATTTCATCAGCCCCTTTTCAAATAGCACGAGCTTAAAATTTTTTAAAAGGAAAAAGCTTGGGATTTGCGTGTTGCAGCGTCCATAATA